CATATGATTCATAAGATTTCCCTGGAACCCAGGGGCATATCAGTTGTCATGGCAGGGCACAGCGAGGTGAGTTAATTAATAGCATTCCAACATATCCTGGGCTTTATTGGCTAGTAGTGAAGAATCCCAGAAGAAGGAAAGCACTGTAATTGTGCCAGATCCATCCTGTGTTTCCTATAGTTTAGTTCTTGAATTTTTTTCATATATTATCTTGATGCCAATGCTCATGGTCTCTGAAATTAAAAGCATTCCTCATAAAGGGGATTATGAGATTAAAAATATTGCTCATAAAGAACACATCGATCCTCACTGGGAGGATGATAGATGTAAAAACATCAAATTACTAATGTCACCAAATAAAACTAATTTAGGAGATAATAGTGCATTTTTAAAGAAATAATGGGGATGTGTTAGATTTACAAACTGTAAGAACTTTCCTTTCCAGTATTCTCATTCTTCATTTATCATTGTATAATAAGAAAACCCCTTAAAGTTAGTCTCATACAAATGTCACTTGCTAGCTTTCTTGCTAATCCAGAGGAAATATTATCCTAGTGGTCCCTGAGGTCCAATGTCTAGGTGTTGGATACATGATAAACTTACTTGAAGCTTTCTTAGTGAGATATAGTCCTCTGGAGACAGCTGTGGATTTAATTTTTCAAGCTTTAGTACAACCTAACCCCTTAAAAATAAGATTTAAGTTTCCCTTGTCAGGTCACTTAAGAGTTTCTTCTTTTTTTTTACTCCTTTTTTTTTTCCTCCTCTGCTACTTGCCCAGACATCTAATCCCCAGCCTCTGGAGGAAACATTTAACCATCTCAAAGTTTTCATGTCTTGATTATATTTTGGTTCCAAAGGACAACACAGATACATTTGGCTTTTGAATGGTTCTAGTCTGAGAGCTCAGATATAAAGTGTTCATGCAAAGCAAATAGTTTCCAGTCTTGATCATTTTGGTTTCTCCTTTCAGTTCTGAACAAAGGTGGTTTTTGCAAATTTTGAGCCACTCCTCTATGTAAGAGCAGTATTTCACAAGAAGAGGTGTGTTTATAGTCTCTGCAGTCCATGTTCCCATGTGTTTATGCTGTCCAGGAGTTGGGCTTAATCTAGTTTTCTTGCCCCTTGATACTTATCACTTAGTTTTCCAGAAACTGAGTTTAATGTTCCAAGGCATGCACAGGATTTAACTGCATAGTTCCTGGTATTGTGAAACTCAATGCAACTCAGAGACAATTTGAGGATGAAGGCTATCCAAGCCAACAATGTCACAGATACAGTATAGCTGAAATGCAGGGGTAGTATACTTGTGTTACTTTTACTGATCCAGTAAAAATGCTGCTTACAGCTCCTGACCTCCAATTTCCCTGCTGTGCAACACCCCCCACACACACACACACCCACCCACACGCCCTCCCAGCTTCTTTCAGACCATTCCTTCTCAGGAGATACAGGCGGAAGAGGCCTTTCAAGGTCACTTGTCAGATTTGTTCCCTAAAGTCAACTTTTCTTTTTTCCTCTGACTGTCTCAGGAAATTAATTTTATCTTGCCTTATGGATTTGTACATTCATCAGGTCTCTTCTTCCTCCCTCTAATAACATCATGACGTGTTGGCCAAGTGCAATCACCATTGAAAGATGTGCGCAGAGTTTGAAAGTTAATTAAGTTTCTAGAGGTTTGTGTGCTCTGGCTGCCAGGTAGATGAGAGAGACCCATGATAGGGACTGCACTGGGGGAGAGTTAAGCAGAGTTCAGCTCTTTGGCAGCAGCGAGGGGTCAGGCACTCTGTGCATACTAGCCAGCCAGACAGCACAGATGAACGGGCTGGCCAGGCGGTCCCAGAGCAGCTCCAGACTGGCTGCAGCATAGGCAGTTTCTCGTCCAGGGTGGATCTTTCACAATAGATGGCAAATGAGAGGAGGTATGTAGTGTATTTCAGGTAGAAGCAGTAAGACACAAATCTAAAAGAAACTTAAGTGTCATGTTGCTCTATGGATCACAGAGCAACACCTTTTCCAGTCTAGTTTTAACTGCCCTAACAAAAAGGATGTTCACCACTGCTGTGAAATGTGCTGCTGTAGCAGATCAGGGGAATAACAATCTGATAGTTGCCATCCTAGCCAACAGCAAAGAGGGGTCCACAGAGCTCCAGGTCTGAAAGCCTGGGTCTTAACATCTCAACCTCTCTAATAAGAGAGGCATATTGCAGAAGGTTAAATGATCTCTTAACCCATGGTCTGCCCACATCACTTCTTTCTACAGATCTGTTGTTACCCATTACACTCTCTACTTCTGCAGGTTGGATGGAGTTTCTGTTTTGTTGGGAGTTCACACTACAGAGAAGGGCTGTCCCCTCCTGGCACCACCACTCCCATGTCACGTCACCAGCATGTGCCCTGGTACACCCAGGATGAGAGACTTCATGCCTGAGCCTTCCAAGAGTTCGGAAAATATCTGGTCTGGCTCTGCAGGAGCAGCATGTAAGCTAAGAGACACCCAAAGCACATTTCCTAGCTAAGGGGTTTAGACTGTCTCCCTAAGGCATTGCTGCCGTTTGCTCTCAGAGACAAGGTAACTGGACAGGATGTTTTTTGGTCTGAGAAGATGGGTCAGTCATATGCCTTAGGTAGGAAGGATACAGCTGAGAGGAAGTAAAAAGGCATGGTTTTCTGACAGTGTTGTGTGCAGGAGGAGCTTTGATGGAATTGAAAATAAAGCCTTGAGAGACTTTTAACCAAAGCATATTTGGCAGTTGCGCACCAGAGCTGAAAGACATTAAGACTAACTTATCTCCCACTTGCCCAGTTCTCCCACAGGTTTTTCTGTATTGCTTTTTGTGCTGTTTCCTGAGTGTGCAACATCCTCTTTATCCTGGTTCACCAAACCACTATCCCCTCTGGTCACTCCTTAAAACTCTCACTGGCTGAGACAGGCTGACCCCAGACCCCCTTCCTCCCTGGTTAAAGAGCTGTGCCTGCATTCTTAAATGCAGAGCTATGGGGGAATATGAACTATGCACACACGCACGCATAAGGCTACAGCTAACTTGATCCTGCGTTTTCCAAAACCCACAAACCCTGCCACTCAGCCAGAAGGAGATTTTTGTTAGCTTTCACCTAGAAAATGAGCTTTATCATGCATTTGAGCCAACAGAGGGCAATATATGCAAAATTCATTATTGGGAAGAAATGCTTTTAAAAGACAGCTCTAAGCAGCCCAGCTCTTACTGTATCTGGAGTCACATATCACAGTGAAAGGCGGCATTCCACGCTGGACCTAAAACCTTCTCAGGCTCCATCAATTAAACCACCACATATGGGGTGGAAGAGACTCAGCAAGGAACTCTCACTAGGGTTCAATGAAAACCAGATGTTGTGGGCACAGCTGTCATGCTTCTTATCAAGAACAACAGAGCAGCCCCTGCTGCAGTTTCATCAGGAACCCTGCCCTTCCTTCCCTTCAGCCCCAGCACTACTGAGAGCCCCTAACCAGAACCAAATAAAATCCTCACGGCCAAAGCATGCAGGAGTCCTCCCCAAATATTGCTATTTACGTTAGCATACTGTTTATGGGTCTCCAAATCAGGGTCCCGCTGTGACTGTCGAAGTGCTTGAGACATGATGAGACAGGCTCCCACTCCTACCTAAGAGTGGCTTTGCTCACTCCCTTAAAAATGTAATTTAGTGTTGGCTCCAGAGTTAGAAGGATTAGAGGGAAAGAACTGTGTATTCCCTCCATAGGGATAAAGCTCTGGCCAATTTCATTTACATGAATTATAATGTATTTACCCATAGGGCTCACATGCTGTGTTTTGTTGCTTTAGATGGAATTCCAGATTGCTAAATTTCAATTGTATAAATGATAACAGATTGCTGCTGTGACTGCACCCATGAAAGCCCACGGGAATTGTGCAGGATATGCCCTGAAGGGCGTGAGTCATCCTGACCTACAGGCAGTGAACTCTGCTTTGGAAATGTGGTTCAAAGCAAGGGTTTCTCAGGAGAGATCAGAAAGCCTATCCCAGGGTTGGGTGTTTGCTCAAGGACCTGTTTTGCTCTGCATTTCCTTGGGTCCTTTTGCCACAAAGTGATTTTGCAAGACTAGTCTACTGGTGACAACATTATTATTGTTTGCACTCGTAAATGATATGCTGAAACCAAATTTACCTAAATTTAATTACAAATAAACAAATAAAGAAGTGGAAGAAGGGAAATAGCCCTGCAAACAAAACAAAACATTTTGTTTGGCCTGACACATAAATTTTTTTTCGGGTGAAAGAAGATAAATATTTCAGTTTCTCGTCAACCCAAAACAATATTTTTTCTCAATTCCACACTCAACTCAAAACCAAATTATTTTCACAGGCATACTTCTGAAGACTGCTGCGTCTAATTGGACCCATGAGCAGAGTTTAGGTGGGTGAGGATTGTGACTAAGAGTTCTGGACTTCAACAAGTCAGACAATTAGTGCAGCCATTGTCCTATTACTATTTCCCAGCTTGACACCCAGACACTGGCATACACTGTTGCTCTGAATAAGTTACTGAAACTGCAGTCGGAACAACACAGGCAGTTGCCTTTCTGGCTGCAGCAAAGGCAGTTGCAAAGGTTACCACCTGCCATCCAACCTGCAGCTGTTGGTCACTGCCCTCACAACTGCACGTGTGCTCTCTGCCTGTGCCTCTTATATCAACATGATCCCGTGGTTTTCAGGAACTTTTATAAACTTGTTGTCAAAGATAAAACAAAAATTACTTGCTTTAACCACATCTATTCCTGACAGCATACGCCAGGCATAAGCATGAAGGAGAAGAATTAATATAGAGGCCTTTTTAAGATAAAGAGACATTTTACAGCAATCCTGATGGCTTGTCCATGTAGAAATCAGATTGCATACCAGGTGTTTTGCAGAACACAGTAATTTAAAGGCAAAATTGACCCTTTGTGACCTGCATGATATGTGGAGCTAATGCACATGTTTTTCTGTTTCTCTTCTGTGCAGCTGATGTGTTTCAGAAGTAGTGTACAGCTCAGATCTGCAGAGACAGGTTGTTGCCTACTAATACAGAAGTAAGTCCAACTTCTCTTTAAATACCCTGATTCTCCCACAAAGAGATCTGCCTTGGATCTTGCAGTGACTCACAGTTAGCCTTCTGATACCTTAATTTTAAACCTCCTACCCTCAGACAGAGATCAGCTGCAGGTATTTTAACAAGAAGTCACCCTAGCTGGTCCTTCATTTTAATCTGTGACAAGCCTGATGTCCTAGAACTGCCTGATCTGAAGGGAAGGAAGAAGATGGCACATGGAGGAACTATTTGTTTACCCACATAAATACAAACACTGTCTTACTTCAGACCAGAAGCTGTTTGAGGCAATGACTGTCATACATTATTGTTGTGTCTGCTGTTATTTCAGTGCAGGGCTTCAGTTCATCCAGAGGTCCAGATTCTCCAATGTCCCTCCTGTCAACAAAAAAGCTGACTAGCTGGCTTCAACTTCAGAAATAATTCAAATGGCTGTTTGGGAAGGGAAGCTAAAATTGAGAAGTGGGTTTACTCACCTTTCAGCTGTGATCCTACAAGTAGTATGGGTGCCACTGTGCCCATGCTCAAGTCCCACACTTACTGTTAATGGAGATGTTGAGTATATAATAGTGTTTGAATTGTTTGCAGCTTCTGGATAGACTGATACTACTCCTGTTCAGAACATGGGGTTAGGAGACAGTGTGAAGCAGTTGTAAATTGTTATTAGCAGAAGAGATTAAGATGCTGCTGTTGACAAATAGGCAGATAATATAGCATCCACTTTTAGAAAAAAACTACTTTTTCTGTGGCCTTTATCAGGCACTTTTGGGCACAGATCTATGCTTCTGCCTTGCCTTCGACAGCAATAGGAAGTGCTTTGAAAGAGCTCTAAAAGGCTTGATGCTGTTGTGATTCACTCGCTTAGCTGCACAAGTATCTGAGGACTGTGTGTTCACAGTAACTCTTATAGAGCTGTTTGGAGCAGGGACTTAGTCTCCATCATGTGCAAACAGAATAAATAGAATTAGTGTTTATGCAGCCTTCTGTAGATCTTCACTCTTTTTGTGGAGCAGGACTACTGTGAGTCAGACCCACCACTGCTTTATCAAAAAGACATAACCAACATTCAACCGAAAAACTAATCATGTGAACTGTTGTTTCTGACACATTTGCAGTGGATGGTTGAGAATGGTACCGTGGAAAGGGAGTTGCAGATGTACCCTTGCCTGTCCCTCGTGGGTTTTATGGTGTCTCAGAAGAGCAAAACTCCCTTTGTTGAGTGAACCAGAATGAGACCTGTTTCTCTTCCCCATCTACTGTTTTGATGCAAGCTTTGAAGTAGTTCTTGGATTTGTTTGTGATAGATAGGTTTAAATGTTATTTGCTGATGGAGTAATAAAAGTCATAGACAGAGACGTACACAACATGATTGCCCATACCTTTTTACTTGGGGAAAGTGGGCTAGGAGTATGAGAGGATCACTAGCAGGGCATTAAAATGATGGGAGGTTACTCTGAATATCATCCCCATGTGTTTCCCATCCTATGTATTCACTGTCATAATTGGCCAGATTCTCAGAGGGTGTAAATTGAGAAGAGCTTCACTGCAGTCACAGTCACTGGGGTGTAGGGAGAGGTGCTCGGAAGATCTCACGATGTACGGGAAGAATAGAGGCACATGAAAGATCTCGTGATGCACAGAAAGAACAGGGAACTAAAGATCTTGTGATGTACAGAAAGGTGTATATAAAGCAATTGCGCAGTTAATAAATTGAGCAAATAGCAACCACCATATTGGCGTTTGTGCTTTTGTTCCCGCACAGGTTTTAACCTCCTGCAAGGGTTAGCTGTGATCTGAACGCCACATTTCTGTGGCTTGGCAGGTAGAAAAAGACAGCTAATACCTTACCACAACACTGGGGCACTTTGTAGGCACCAGAGAACCCAAATGTACAGCTCCAAAGAGAGAGTTAAGCCCTTCTTGTGCACAGAAGCCTGGAGAAACTGCCCTTTTCTGCCTTTGCACTTCACATCCTCATAGGGAAAACAAAAGCTGAGGCCCCCATGGACCTCATGAGTGTCAAAGCTATGGGGAACTCTGGGGCTACAGTCCCAACACCCTCCATGGTGCTATCACAGCTTTTGACTCCACTAGGACATGTCAGGGCTCAGGTTTCATGCTTGGAGTCACTGCTGTCTCTAAGCAGAGGGGTCACTGCATTGCCAAAACTACAGCCATGACAAATGTGAAACGTGGTGTCAAACACAGAATAGGTGGGCTCTGAGTTCCTAGGGGAATCTTTTGTTGGTGACAAAGCGAGCTTGTGCAACATCTTTCCAAAGCCTTAACATGCAGTCTTGAGTCATCTATTCCTGGCGCACTAACTGTTGAGTGGCTGAAAATAAATAAGCAAAGAGAAAAGGTCAGATTTGTGAGAAAACCAAGACATACACCAGGATTGTGTCTGGGTCCAGATATTTCAAAATTAGTTGGAGAGAGCCTGGTGTTTCTCTGATAGATACATAACCAGGAAGACATATGAGATGGAGTTACTTCAAGGGATGGCTGAAATGTCTAAGGCTGCATTAAGAACTTGCACTCTGTTCAAGGAAGGGCTCAGACTTTGGTGCAGTGACACTAGAGCTGATATAACCACTGCCGTGATCCCACTCTCCCCGCCCCATCCTCAGCTGCACATTTCTGCCTCCCTTCTTGCGCTTCTCTGGCAATTGCAAGCTCTTCACTGAGCTGGTTCACAGTGCTGACCAGACAGAAAAAGCCAACTGATGTAGCAAGCTGAAATGGCTCATCAGAGACCCCAGCAACAGGAATGTGTGAGCAGAGTGGTGGGAGCATAGAAGCATATCTTCCAGTACTTAGATTACCTTTGACTATGTGGAGCCCCCTCCAGCACACCTCTCTGACAGGACACAGGGAGGAGGGCTGCATTACTGGTAAGGCCACTGTGTATTGTGGCCATATGGCTAACTCCTCCACACCACCATCCCAGGTGGCTGTTCCAGCCCCCATATTGTAGCAGATGACAAATTCCCTTGTGTCAGCTGTGGGCTGGGCTGGACTTGGGAGCTGATCTCACTTGAAAGGGAAACAAGTATATTTTTCTGAATAAGATTTCTTCACTTATCTGTTCACCAACACATTTGCACAATCATGTAGACTGGAACAGCTTGGGGAGCAGTGTGCCAATGCAGTTAGGTAAGAGTGAGTAGTACAGGATGGTAGTTGGGGAAACAAGAACGGCAGTAATACCCAAGCATGGTTTTACCCCTAAATGCTTTTAGTAAGTAATATCAAAGCAGAGATACAGAGATTGACTGCTCCAAGGAAGCGAGTCATGTTGGAAAATATGCTTTAATTGATGCACTGCTAAATGCTGCTTAGCATCATCTGTAGCCAAATTACTAGCAATTTTCCTTGGTGGACCCTAGGTCTTCTTTGTGCTGCTCTCAGAAATTTGATCAGATGTTTGTTGGGAGTTGCAGTACCACTCAGGACATATGGCAGCCCCTTTTTACTGAAAACATCCAACTTTCTGATTGTGTGTTGCTGTGTTACAGTGTACTTACACTGCAGACAGCTGGAATAAACAGCTTGAAAAGGGGAAAACCTCATGGGCACAGTGTGTGGATGTCCATGCAGTTAGTACAAAGCCCCAGTCCCCTTGCTGGGTACCTTTGCAACTTGGGAGGCTTGAAGATGTACCACACTGAGTGCCTGAACTAACAGGGACAAACAAGGTTTTAAAGCAGTACCTGTCTCCTTGTCCCTTGAGGGCCTGATCCTCCTCTGGGATGGGGCATACTTATGATGTACAGCCCCCTACAGCAGCTTAGCATTCTCCATCCTAGAAAAAGTTCAGCTTCTCACCCTACTCCCCCTTTTCTAGAATTTTGCCCGCTCTAGTGGCCTGAACCTCCTCCTCTTTTCCACTCAATGTATTTGTCTAAGTCTGTTAATGGGCAGTTTGTCTCCTCTTGTTCTTCAATGTATTTTGTTAGCTAAAGCAAAAAGCTTTTACCCTTTCCTGGCTTTACCATTCCTGTGTTCCCAAACAGCAATTTCTTCCAGCTAGGCTCTGCTGATGAGATAGTCTGTACCTTTTAAATGTGGGCCAAGTAGTGCATAGAGAGTGGCCCTACACAGTGGCAAAGCAAGAAGTTGGATTTGCTGCTATCTCTTTGCTTGCTATAATCACAGGTTATTAGGACACAGAGATTGTGTGGAGGCATGTCCATGTTCTGTCTTCTGGCCTTCCTCTTGAATGCCCTGGACTGAAAAGCAAATAGCAAGGGAGACACAGAGAAGCAAAATCACCCTTTGAGATATAAAAGAGGGAGATGGGAGATCCTGGATAGTATCTGAGTTCCTTTGAATTGAAGGCTGAATAGATTAGAAATAGTGTAATTGAATTAAAGCCACTGTTTTTTGGAGTAGATATACATTTACCCTGGCTAAGCAATTTCTGGGTTGAGTTTTTTATCGCTTTCGAGCACCTGCTTATTTCAGAGGGTGACGCTCCAGAGATTACTCTGAGCCAGTGCCAACAGCCAGCATTTCTCACTGCCCTCTCGCCTGCCTCCGCCCCCTGCACTGCTCTAGACACACACACTCCAATATAGAATGACAGCACATTGCCACAATTTTAATGACACTGCCTCTGCCTCCTTGGAAGGACAGGTCCTCCAGAGAGCACCAGCCACAGCAACTGTCCACCCTTGCAAAAAAGGTCTTCATCATGGCATATAAAGCAGCACATTTGGCCTTTAAGTCGCGCTGGCACAAGACAGACGAAGAACTCTGTCGGCACAGTATGTCCTTCATCTTGCATAAGGCGATCCGAAATGACTTCTTTCAGAGTTACCTTTATCTGCTGGAAAAGCTTCCCCTGGGTGAGTAGCTGGTGGGCAGGAGCATCTGTGTGTCTGTGACTGTGCTCTGGCAAAACGTATCATTTTAGAAGGTAGAGTGCAGACACATTAATGACAGTGAGTAGTAGTTCTGAGAAGCCTGGCCAGAGAAACTACAGTGCTATCTAAATTTATACTTGGTACTCTCTCTCTCTCATCTCCCTCTAATTCAGTACCCTGTTGTTTTACCTAAATACACCACAGATTGTTAGAGGGTGGCAAGGGAAAGATCACAAGAGTGAAAGAAAGTTTGGTTCCTTTTTTTGTCATCATTTAAGTAAAACATGCATTGACCTGTTTGGAACTTGGAAGAATAAATGCAAAACTAGCGGAGCTGACAGGCCTTAATTTCTGTTGCCTGATACCTGTTTTGTTGTCATTCAGTGTGTCCTTATCCTTGTCATTTGTATTGTTTTGAACAAGTGCTTGAAAAGTAATGTTTGTGAATTTTTTTCTTGAGAGTCTTAGTAATCTGAATCTCTGCAGCAGGCTGTCTAACCTACTGTTAGTTATCTGGGAGGAAGATGCTTCCACAATGTTTGTTTATAGCCAAATTTCAGTGACAGCCTGTGGTACAGGATGCCAAGACATTTTAGATGCAGAAAATGAATGTTAATTTCTTCTAAAAATTTGACCCTGAATAAGAAACAAAATTTCTCCAGGACAATATAGCTAAAAAGTCAATTTGACTTGAGCCTGTATTACTTTAGCATGTCACTTTTTAAGCAGAATTATTCAGCTTCCACTCAGTGTTAGAACTGTAGGAATATAAGATGGGAAGGATGTGTCTGTGTAACCTGTTAAACTACTCTTCATAGTGAATTCTTGATTGTGTGAAACCATACAGACCCCAGTGAGAACTCTGCTCACGTTGGTAGAATTCATGAGTCCTGTAAAAAGAAAAAGCACTTCCATGTTATCTTAGTATTTTGGTGTGACTTTTCAAATGCAACAATATCTGCAGCTATTTAAAATGAAACATGGAAGATAAATATTCCTATCCCTAGTGGTGGGTAGCTGTGAATGATGGAAAGAAAGGCAAGATGGAAAGGAAGGAAAGTCAATTATAGGTCAATGAAATCTCAAGAAGTCTATGAAAATGTTATTCTTTAATTTGTTTTCAAAATAAACATAACATATTAGAAACTGAGCAGAATTTCCTACAGTGTTGACTGTTAGTGTAACTACTAATAGATTATTTTAAGGCTAGAAGGTACCATTATGAACATCTAGTTTAGACAAACATCTAGAATTTCATGTAAAAGTTCCTGCATCATGCCTGTAACTTAAGAGTGGGTCACAGTATATATTTATGAAGACAAAAATACCTTGGTTTAAGGGCTGCAAATGACCTAAGAATCCATCAGTCCATCATTAAGCTGCTTCCAGGCCTAATTGCTTCACCCTTGTAAAACTATATTTTATTTCTTGTCTGAATTTTATTTGAATTTCCATTCCCAGCCAACAAGCTTTGTAATATGTTCCTATCAGACTAAAGATCCCCTCTGCCAGGATTTTCATGACCTGAATCGTTAAAACTTCACTAAAGAACTAAAGAAATTGCCAGCCTATCCGAATTAGTTTGAAGAGGTACTGTGAGTCCAGCCTTCCATGTGAACACGCAGTATGTCTGTTACTCCATGGTTATTGCCATGAAGTAAAAGTGTGCATAAGAACACTTATCCTGTGGGGTAGCTTGTGCGCTGTGATACACATCCAGGAAACTTCACAGCATGCTAGGATGTCATGGTCTGGTGGGTGGACAATCAGATCAGTAAAAAGTGATTGGGTGATTTGGCTCAGAAAATTGTAGTCACATTATGAGGACAGTGGAGTACTGCAAGGGTCTGTCCTGGGATCTGTGCTGTTTAACACCTTTATCAGTAACCTGGAGGAGGTGAAGAACTGCTTGCTCATCATATTTGCAGATTGCAGCCAACTGGCAGGGCTTGTCTGCAAGTTCTGGGTTGGGACTGCCATCCAGAGGTACCTAAATAGGCTGAAGGAAAGAGATAGTGGGAAGCTAGTGAAATTCGAATTCACTGACGTTCAAAGGCAAAGGCCAAGTCCTGTACCTGGAAAGGAGGAACCTTTGGCAATAACACCATGGGCTGATCAGTGGCTGGCCGGGGAGCGGCCCTGCTGATAGGGTTTTGGTACGTAGCAACTGAATGTGAACCAGCAGTGTGTCCTGACAGTGAAGAAGGCCAACAGTATCCTGGGCTGTAGCAACAAAATCATAGCTGGTTGATCGAGGGAAGGGGTTATCCCCTTTTATGCAGCAGCCCTGTGTGGAGTCTTGAACCCCTGATGCAGGAAATGACATGGAGCTAGTTGGATGACCTCCAGGGTGATGAGGGAAAGGGAGCACATGCCCTATGAAGAGATACAAAGGGAATGGGGCATGTTCAGTCAGAAGAGACAGCTTCAGGGAGACCAAATACCAGCCTGCCCGTACCTATAAGAAGATCATGAAGAAGATGGAGCTGAGCTCTGCATAGTGGTGTGAGGTAGGAGGACAAGAGACGGTGGCCATAAATGGAAACATAAGAAATTCAGTCTGGCTATCAGGAAAAAGTCTTTCTCCATGAGGACAGTCTGGCATTGGAACAGGTTTCCTAGGGAGGTTGTACAATTCTCCATCACTGGAGACTTTTAAAACCTAGCTGAATAAAGTCCTGGTGAACCTCATCTGACCTCATGTCTGTCCCTGCTTTGAGCAGAAGTTCGGACTAGAGACCTCCTTAGATCCCTTCCAACTTGGATTATCTGTGATCCAGTGCTCTCTGTGATGGAGAGGACAGAACGTGGCAGGTCTGAACATCTCTGCAGAATGACATTTTCCAGTTAGTTCCGAGTGGAACTGAGCAAAAATGAAATTAACTTCTCAAGCTTCAAGACTGGATCCAGATATCTCTGTGTAAACAGTATTAAATGACTAAAGCAACACTAAGACTGTGACCTAGCAGGGTAGTTAAGCATGTGCTTAACCCTAAACATGAATAATAACACTGAAATCAAGCCTCACACTGAAACTTGCAGTGCAGCCCAGGGTCAGCAAGGTAGAAAGCTTGCTTCAAGCTATGCTAACTCCGTGCTCCCCCCACTCCATTGCTAGGTTCAATGGTGGAGCACTTACAGACATGTTTACTTATGAGCTGAGCATATCTGGTATCACAGCCTGTTAAGAGAAACATGTCACTTTTACAGACCAGGGTAACATTTATAAATAAAAGACATGAGTAACTTTAGGCCCTGATCCAACAATGTACTTAAATGTGTGTGAATGCCCTTAAGCTCAGTGGACTTCAATGGAGCTACTCAGATGCTGGAAATTATGCAAGTGTTTACATGGGCTGGGGGACTCAGTGCCAGTGGGGTGACATCTACAGTGGAAAACTTAAGATGATCGGTCTGTAGAGACAAATACTCCCATGTGTGAGGCACGTGTCTGTAAGCAGAATCTCCTGTGGGGGTGGGCTGCTGTTCATCCTCTATAAAACAGAATGTAAATGGTTCTCGGACCACAGTAGAGAGGTGAATTCTACCCTGCACCCAGATAACTGTTTTTCAACTGATGCACAAAGCAGATGTTGCATTTAAAAGGGAATACTCAGCCAAACTGGAATTAGTTCAATATCTTGCAGAAAGCAGTCAGAGCCACAAAATAATGTTCACAAATAAAAACTTCCAAAAAATTACTTGCAACATTTACTTCTGCCAGTGAAATTTAGCTGAGTAAACCCTAAAACCCCAAACTGTAAAACAGTCTACTGCAGGTTGGGATTGCACTCAGTCTAACATATTAAAGTGGTCCATTTCTCTAGAGATTTATATCAGATGTAGTAGGAAACAAAATTTTGTACTGATCCATAAGTATATATATACATATATACAGATAATGTTTTGGACTTTGCAAGGCCAAAGGGCTTAGGTAGATACTCTCTGTCTAGTCCAGGGGTTGGCATTCAGCTGTAGATCACCACTGCATCCAGACTGTGCTTGCAGCGAGTGAAAATTATGTCTCATAACTGTGGAGTGACCTTTAGGGAGTCAGTTCCTGTTCTCAGCCTGCTTTTGCAATAGGTTTGTTTTAACAGTCTCCACCTGGGGGACTTGCCAGCAGATTCAGCTGAAAGACCAAGTGTGCCATAAAAAATTTTTCTTCTTACTCTACTTTCTAACTTTCTAACCTTACAAGTTACCTGCCTTAACACTGAAAACCTTTGCTGTGAAAGACTGTTGCCCCTGCCCTGCAATGTCTGAGAGACTTGCAGCCTCTGTTGTCCTATCCTGCCTATGCCCTACTTTTCAAAGTTCCTTGAAATGAAGCTGTGTATCGGTAACAGACCTCACAAGTATTTCATTTCCTGATGCACAAGATAGTCCCACATGGGTCACGGAAAGGGAGATACCTCTGGCTAGACAGGTCCTGTGATGAGGGATGCTGGAGTGGAGTTCAACATTAACTGCTGTCACCAAGGACATGTGTGTCTCCTTGCACTTCTTTTTTGGGGTAGATTCCTGCAAGCTGGCAAACCTTCCTCTCCCTCTGGTCCTGCTGCTGGAGCCTGCATGCCAGGCACAGCTGCAAGGCAGATCAGAGGTGAGGTTGATTGTCTGTGTCTGGAAAATTGGGTTGTGCACTGGGAGAGTTGGCAGTGTTGCAAATACATGAGAGGGAGGAGTAACACTGAGGGAGCAAGAGGTGGAAATCATCCCTATAGATCTCACACTGCATGAGTGAGACTGTGGGCCCACAGGAGAAGACTTTGGGTACAGTGCCACCCTTTACTTTAGCCCATGTCCTTGCATGCCTTCAGGTGGGAGACTTGCATAAAAAGATCTTTGCAAAGATTGATGCATAGAGAAGACCCTATGGATGCTAAGCCCAGAGCTGGTTTTGGATGCCAGCACATAAGGCAGGACACTGGGGCCCCAGCTGGCCCAGGAGGAGCTGCAGTCAGCTGGTGTATGCATGCAAGTCCCAGCAGGCAGTCTGCAAGCCTGATACTGGTTCTAAGTGAGAAATTTGAGAGCACACACTACAGATCTGATATCCTGAACAGCATATCATCCCCATGTGTTGCCTCAGGACAGGCTTATGTTTTGAGTAGAAGGGCTTTGAATATTGATTGTTCCTGCTGCCAGCTGCCTGTAACACCCTGTACTAGTGTGCAGTCTGTAAATGCCCTTCCTTTCAATCTAGCAAAATGGGATAAATCACTGTCCCTTGATACGTCCATTTAAACAAGCCCTAGAAATCATCGCTGAATTTTATATGGAAGATCTTGCAAAGCCAACATGTAGGGATTCAGTTCTGTTCACCAGTCAGGCTAGCATCTGAAATGCAGAAAAAAGGAACACAGAGAAAACTAGATGGTGCCACTCCTGGGGAAGATGGAGATCGTTTACTGGAAGAATCACAGCCACGGATGGAGTCTTTTTCCCAGGCTCTGGGAGCCACCCCGGCCAAGTTGTGTTGGGGATTGGCTGCTGCCCCCTTCATATTAATTTCTTCAGCTAAATGGTTTCTTCTGAGTATGTGAATATAATCAGTGGAGTGTGTAAAACTCCCAGGTTTGACCCTTGCTGGGCTCAGTGCTTCTTGTGGTATAAATTTCTCAGGCATAACATAAATGTGTAATGGATTAAAGCTTTAATAGTATCCGTTCGGCAGTTGACTTAAGCAGGTGATGACAAGAGAGGCTGGTAATGCTGCTTTTGTTGGATGAAGGATATGCCAGGCATGCTGCTTATGTGTAACCCAATAGCACTATTCTGTTCCGAGTGGTCCTTGGTGGTAATTATTCCCTATCCTACTTCCTTTGTCCCCCCCTCATTTGCCTCCAAAATGTCATTCTCCTGCTGAGGATGGGCAGGCACACACTTATCATTCCCTGCTGAGTTTGCTTGCCCTCAAAAAATACATTCCAGGCTTATATTCAGGGCCTCTGGCCTAGCTCTCATCCTCTGCGTGGAGGGCATAATTCCTGTCCCCCGGCTGGTGTAAGCAAGGCACTGCCTGTTCAGACCCTTCCCAGCAGCGACCTGCAGTGCTCCAGTGGAAGCTTAAAGATGCATCGACAAAACTCTGCTCCCTGGTCTCTTTGTGTATGCAGCTGGCAGGGAGCAATCCCTTTCTGTTGTTATTAACCCAAAAGATGTTTGCTGTTGGATCATTTCCAGTTCCTTAAGCACGCTGGGAATCTGCAGCAGAGCTGGTCTTACATTGCAAGGTGGTGCTTGCAAAGACTTCTTCCCAGTGTGATTCCATCCCTCCTTATTGCTTAGCTTTCACAGACAGACTTGTAGTTGTGTTTTTGTTGGAAAGGCTGTCATACACACAGGAAAATGCCTGGACACTTGTATGCACACATGAGACAGTCAGACATGCTGGTTTCCAAGCAGACTGTTTATGGCCTGCCTCAATCCAAACTTTTGAGCTGCAAAACAACTGCTTTTGATATGCCGATGCACATCGAGTGTACAAAGACCCAGGATGAGGATGATGGACCTCAGTTTTTTTACGAATGGGGAAAAAGAGCCAGTAAAGGTTGCAGATTTTAATAAAACAGCTTCAAACGTGATTGCTGTATATTGCCAGCAAAATAGCCAAGAAACATCTAAGCCTCTGGCACAAAGGAACTTTCCAGTATATCACCCACTGATTATCTCACTCCTTGATCTGTGACAGATGAAAAATTAGGACTGCCTCTTCTAAATTGTCTTCCCCCCCTGTATACTCATTTAGGCCTGAGACTACCATCTGCTCTTTGGTTCAGCTTACTTGCAGTGCCACAGACGGTACAGTATCACTAAAAATACAGCAGAGCAAGCGCCTCATTGATCTGCTCTCAGTGCACTCTCTGTGCAGCTGTCAGTGGCTAGAAAGCATATATGTAAATTTGCAGAACTGTTAGGTTTGTGATAGTGGAAATGATGACCCTGCATAGCAATAAATGCTGCCCACAGCTTTTCTGGGAGCAGATAAAACCCCTTGCTCTCTTAGGCATGCATTCACTTCAAAGTTGAAATGATTTTTCACTAGTATGAAAACAGTGTGATGACAAAATCCATGTGTGAGCCTGGGAGGCACCGAATTTGCCCAAGGGGGACTGTATGCCTTCAAGGTCTTGCAGGATTAAATCCAGCGCCCTTCCTTCCACTTCCTTTAGAAACTGAGGTTTGGTGTTTTGAAGGTTCCATTTAAGTGTATAGATCTTCACCATTGTGCCTCCAGAGCAATAAACTCACCCCAAAAAAAACCTGCCATTAACAATAAAATAGTGATTTGTCTGCTTGCAGTGAAACTTTACGCTTTGACAAGTCAAGTTATCAATGGGGAGATGCAGTTCTATGCCAGGGCCAAACACTTCTACCAGGAGGTGCCAGCCACAGAAGAGGGCATGATGGGAGACTACATTGAGCTCTCCAATACAGACATTGAATCCTCCAGGGAGTTTCTCAGGAATTTTGTTGGGGTAAGTCATTTAATCTCATCTTTTGCAAGAAACGGTGGTGATGTGTCATAAATGACACGCAGTGTGCCCAGTCACATATATTTTCAATGGCACCATATGTCGTATTTGATGTGCATCACAGGTCATAACTGGCTGTCATTGACTCTAGTAATGTATTCTGCCAGGTCATCCATGCATTGTCATGAATATACATTTTGCCTGGACTTATTTTGTTATTTACCTGTTTTGTGTCCTTTTCTTATGCCCCAAAGCTGTAAGGAGTTCTTACAGCTGTCTTTGGGTGGGAGGTTAATTTTCAGTGCAGGACTGTGACCTTTCATGATAAAATCCTTGCTGGCTTCAGTTGGAGATTTGTCTGTGCAAATTCCTGCAGTCCATTTGGGAGAGTAGCTGAGACTAAATGCCAAGTTCTGTTTTGCCTATTTATAAATATTTCTGAGAATGCTGCAACAAAATCCAGTCCTCCCCCTCCCCCTTCAAACGTTGGGAGTATATAGAATAAGCTACCGTTTAGGAAAAATATTTTTTTCTTGAACATTCCAGTGTCACTGGGGACCTTTGCAGACAGATTTCTGAAGTTCTGTAAACATGTTCAAAGGCCTGCTTTGACCTGAGATGCAAAGAGATGCCAAGTGGGATTTTAGAAGCACCTACAATAGAGGTATCACTTTGGCACTTGGGTTTCTGAAAATCCTGTTGATGCCTAAATGTGGCTTTGGGATTCCACACATCTTTACAAGTGTGGCCTGATGATTTTCTAACTGTCCTTCCCTCTTCCCAGGGGAAAAGCCCACTAAATAAGATCAACAACAGTATTAGAAGCTAAAGAATGCAAAAGCTACAGGAAAACAAGTTTCTTAAGTTCTGCTCACAAAATGACTAGTTCTATATAATGCTACCATAGATCTTTCATTTTCTGCTCAGATGTACAGATTTGGGATAGCCAGGTGACCTTTTTTAGTCTTAATGACCTACTGTGGGAAAAAAGCTCAACAGGTTAATTAGATGTTGTGTATGAAAAAGGGCACAGATTGGGATGGAAAACAAGTGTGGCTTAACAGACAGAAATCCTATATAGCAGGGAAGGGCAATTGATGGCAAGGTGGCTGTACTTGATAGAAGCAGGCTTTTGGGGCAGTGAGCCAGCAGAACACAAGTGAACACCTACATTTTTTTTTAATTAACAGCAATTTGTATTTATGTTAATGCAAAAAGGCTTCACAACATTTCAAAGCCTTGCTGTATCAGGCTTTCTACAAACACAAATAGCATATACAAAGGAAAAATTAAATGCAGCTTATAAACCTAGAGCCAGCTCAAGGCATATTCCTTAAATTTTACTTAAGTCTTGTTTTAAGGGCATTTGTGGAATTCAAGTGGTGCATAAGCGTGTACTCAGGGAAGGATTTCACGCCTCCTAAACACTATATAGATTCAGTGCCTGAACGGCAGGTTTTTATCACACTGTTACGCTTTCTCATCTCCAAGACCCGAAAAGGAAAGGAGTACGGTCTGAAGGAGAGTTTCACATGCCAAAGAGGAATCATACCCAATGCATCAGGTGCGATGACAGATACAAAATACTCCAGAGCAGAGTTCCTACTCCTATTATTAGCTAGGGATAGAAGGGATACTCTGAATGGCCAAGATCAAACAAGAAAAAAAGAAACAAAAAGGAATCTGCATGTTTTGGTAATTCTGATTTAGTTTGTTAAAGCCTATCCTCTGTTGAAATACAGTCAATTGGTTATGTTACTTATGGTTTACTTTCCTTTCTTACTACTGCAATTTGAATCCTACTCAACCAGATGCAGATATTTAGTGGCTTTCTGTAGCAGTGACTTTATTGTAAAGCAAATTTGAGTTATGTCTTCCCAAGTTTATGTCTCTATAATTTTTTTTTTCCCAATAAGGTGATCAGGATAGATAGAAAAAAACCCATTTTGTTTCACCCTAACATAAACGATGCTTTATTTTTTAAAGAGAAGTTTAACAAAATTGGAAAGTAGGAAAATCAGTTTCAGATCAACTGAACATATTTCACTTAAATTTTTTTATTGTTTTACCCTCTAAAAACTTTTCCCTTTGTTTTCAAGAGTTCAAGTCAGTTTCAAAATGAAAAATGCTGTTTAGAAATGAGAAGTTGACAAGTTGTTTTTTTTCCTTGAAAGTCGTGAAAAAGAAGTATCTTGACATTTTCAACATTCTTTCCCATGTTTTTTGGCTATAACTATTCTCTAGATTTGAAATATCAATTTCACAGAGTTTTATTCTTCCAAAACTTTATTTTCTGGCAAAACTAGTGCTCCTTAAAAAAACAGTTGCCCAGTTCCACTCAAATTACCCCTCTTGAGTTAGTTTGGCTGGTGTGGAAATGCCACACAGTGACATTTCCCTTACATGACTGATGTTGCATACCTTCATGTATGGCATTTCTTAGCATGATTCTTAGGCACCACTGTAAAATGAGCTACAGATTTCTTTACCATTGGAGAATTTATCTTGCCTGGGCACATGGAAGGAATTACAGAAGGGACTAAGGACTTCACTTATATTTTAGTCTATCTCCTTCCCAGGCAAGTCAAACTGAGTTAAAAGTGCCACTGTGCTCAAGTTAAGAGGTTTTATGTGTGTGTGGGCAGAACTCAAACCAAGAGCAACATTACTTGAGCCAGCAGTGCTGTACAGACAAGCTATAGGTTGTCTTAGGTACAGTCATACTTGAAGGGTTATCAGCAGAGCTATAGCACTGCATATTTATGGCAATGTTTTAATGCCAGTTAAAGCCTTGATGTCCATATAGACACTGTGTTTTCAAGTGCCTAATCCAGAGGTAATGTATAAAAAAAGGAAATAAAACAAAGAAACCCTTAATTCAGGAACAGTTGTGAGCTATAGGTGTGTGATATAATACAGACGGAGGTTACATAAACTTTATAGCTCCCTTTCTGCCCTAAACCCTTCTTCCCTTTCTTGCCCTCAGTTCACCTGCCTGATTGGTTACTTGCTGAATGAAAAGCTTCTCAAAAGTGATTTTTCTCCTGTTTGATCAGGGGGATGGAAGAGATGTTGTTGGAAACCTCATTGTTATTTTTTTTTTAATTTAGAAAAAAACCACTGTGATTTTCATCTGTTTCTTGAACTCTTGATTTCTTTTTTATCCTGCATACCTACTCTGCCTTCCTGCCCTTCCAAGACCTGAAGTAGCATCAGGAACATATTCCACAGCTCTTTAATCCCTAAGGAAATTTGTGAATGCCCTATTTAGCTTTACAGAAGAATTTTTGAGTGTGTCTGTGTCCTAAATGATAGAGATTCTGAGTAATGAGAAGCAGGTAATCAGAGGAACAGTCAATCTTAAATTTTGAAGCCTGTTCTGGCTTAGAATTTTCACTTATACTATTTTTTTAAAATAAGGAGTCTCATTTTCAACTCAATTAGGCTTTTGGGAAAATGACTGCCTTCCAAAGAAAATGTTAATACCCTGTCAAAGCTCTGAGCACTTCCAAACTGAAAATATATTAGCTGAACATGGAATTATGTCAACATTTTCATTACAAACGGAGCCATGGTACTTCACTGGGCTTCTTAACTGACTGCCTGATGCTCTTGCTCCCTTTCAGCAAAGTGTGAGATCAAGCTTCATCTCCCATGATTGTTCCCTTTCCTTCTTCTCAATGGCAAATGGAGATGTGTCATCAGAGGTCCTTGCTGTGATGCATCATGGGAGATGAATTCCCTGTTTTGAGTGAGGTACTGTGACTATAGGTTCTCTGAGACACAAATGTCAAACATGTTATATGGCTTTTTGTCAAATTCTGTTAGTTGTTTTGGTAAATCATCCCGGTTTTCTCACCAGCTTTCTCAAAGATTTTTACTTAATCACATCACTGTAGGCCTGTATATATCTGCCAGCAAACAATATGGAACACCACCTTGTAAAGATCCAAGACATAGTTCCTTCTTCTTTCATGAATTTCTTGTTACAGCTTAGTCTGGTCCTCAGTAAAAGCCTGTGAATGAAGAACGGCTCACATTTTCTGGCTAACTACAAACAGGTAGTCTCCAGAGACCAATAGGGTTGAAGGCTTGTGGACTCTTGCACGCATCACGAGATTAATCTTCCTAGGTATACAAATTGGGACCAGCAGCCCTGGAGACTGGTGAGAGCCTTTGGGGTCCTTGTGCTCTTTCTACAGTTACTCTGTGTAACCAGATGCTCAGCTGGGCTATTCATAGTCATACCATTGACAGTACTGTCCTTTGACCTTAGTAATCTACTGAATTACCCACTGAAGCAAGGCCGAAAAAGCAGTGACTTACATGATTTATGGTTGGTCATCACAGAGGGGGTCTCCCATAATCAGGAAGAGCAAGACTCTTCCTGGGCTTATTTCCTTTAAGAGCAGTGAAGCTCCAGCAGGGACTTCAGCCCATAGCTTCCAGTTCAACACTCAGTTCCAGGAGACAGGGAAGGGAAAAGGTGTTTACATTTGCTTTTAATATATTAGTTTAAAAGATAACTTTGACCAGGGGAGCTCCAATCTCACAGTCAGTCCATGTACAGACTTAAAATTTCTGTTTTACAGAACAGCAGCAGGCTCTTAAGAGCCTTTTTATAGCTAGAATGGAAGCTTTAGGGGTGAAATACAGCTTTCATTATAAAGCTCCTTTTACAGTGATTCATTATTTTCTCATAGACATAGCCTTTGTGCCACGTTTTCTCACGTCTGATCTCTGTCCAGAGATGATATTTATGAAGAAAAAAAGATCACTTAAGAAAAATCTACTCAATCATCTTTCTTGTCTCTGTGCCTAAAAAAGAAATTCTGTATATGCTCCAGTCCAAACTTTTTGAGTTGTCGTAAATTGCCTACAACTCCAAGATCTTCGTTCAAACACAGCTTGTTTTGAAAACTGAACTCTGATCCCAAGGATGCTCTGTGTCTGCAGAGATGTCCATAGGCACCTTGGGAGTTGTGTGCTGCAGAAGTTACTTCTTGCATGCAGTATTTAGTATATGCTTACTTTTTTGTTAGGCCTTTACAGGGCTCAGAATGAGGCTTATCTAGCCATGTTGTTGGCTGTGGAGTAGGAATATTTGACAGATGAAGTTGCAAGGGCTTTACAAAGACCAGTGGATCTTCTGAGAAAGCTAGGATGTGAAAGATTATGTCTCTTATGCCAAGGAAAAACTTACTGTACAGCAATAAATGCAGGGGAGGCAATGCAGAAGTCCCATTGACAGCAGCCTGGGAACATGGCAGCCCATCTTGGCTCACACATAGTACCCAAAGCTGTGTTGATGCTGTCGCAGGTTCTTGCCAGTCTTGAAACAGCCTTGAACAAATAAGGAGACAGACACTAGGCTTGGTGGGCTAAAGGCCATAGCAGGTAACAGAGTTTCCCTGATCTTTCAGGTGGTGTTTTTCAGATTTCAAATTATTTTCTTGTATCCCACAGGGGGTGGGGAAAGCTGGAACGAACCGTGCCCTGGACTGCGGCTCTGGGATAGGTCGTATCAGCAAGCATGTCCTGTTACCAGTTTTCAAGAGCGTGGAACTGGTGGATATGATGGAGAATTTTCTGGCTGAGGTCCCAAACTACCTGCAGGGCAAGGAGGACAGAGTAGAGATGTATTACTGCAAAAGCCTCCAGGAATTCACTCCAGACCCACAAAGATATGATGTCATCTGGATTCAGTGGGTTTCAGGTTAGTTCAGCATGGTTCATCCAGCCTGGCATCTCAGAGGACTGTACAGCCTGTGCTAAAGTTTATGTTAAAAGAATGATGCAGCTGTAAAAGGAAGTTCTCAAATCTTTGGGACAGCTTCCTAAAATCTCCCAAGAGACTTCTGAGAGTTCTCCCCAGCCACATTCACATTGGGTACAAATCAAGTTGTTTTTTTTCAGGACATGTACTGGAGGAAGGTACATGTTCTTGGAAAGCAGCCTGTGTGCTAAGGTGCGTCTGAGGAGTAGGCCTTGTATGTGGGTTTTCTTGAGCAGGAATCCTCCTTCTTAGTTGCCAGTGCTGCAGACAGATACATGGGGTTGGCCTTGCCAGTGAGCAGGGAATTCTGAATCTGATGATTATCCAGACTCCGGGATATTTCAGGAAACAATCTGAAAAAATCCATAGTAAAATTATCAATATCTATAAACCAGATCATGTCTTCTACATGCACTGATGCATGTCAAACAGGTTCACTTAGCTATGTCCCACAGTACACCATCATATAAGAAATATCTGCTGCTTCTCCTGCAGCCACCCTGGTGTATGCCCTGCAGCATTAAGAGCAGCAGACTGGCAATCCGATAACGTGGGCTATGTTCTTCACCAAAAAAAAGTTCTTGATTTTTTCTAGAAAACCTGTGGCAGTGCCTAACCGTCCTTCCAGAAAGAGTTTTCTCCTAATCTGTGAACCTAAGTGTCCATGGTGCAGTTTCAGCTTTCAGAAGCAATTATTCTAAAGCACAAGAGGAGGCCTGAACAACTTGTTCTCTCCAAAACCCTGGAGCCAGATAGTTTCTTGCTAGGCAAAAAGAAAGATAAAGGTAGAGAGATTAGCACAGGAGATGGTTTTATTCAGGAACACTTACTTGTCCTCTACACATAGTCTTATGAAGTAATGAAACTGAGCTTTGTAGAACAGGTCTATAGTTGTACAAGCAAATTGCTTCAGAAGAGTATAATTTTCCTTTGTGTTTTTGCTTTTCTTGAATAAACAGTCATTGCAGTAAATGTAGCTTCTGCCTCATCTTTTGAGCAAATCTGAGTCAACAGACTGAATGAGCTAAGACTTGTCTGAGGCTGTACTGATCAGCTATGTGGCTGCCAACAAAGGGAGCGTATGCCTTTTCTTTAGCATAGACACAGATCTGAATCTCCTTTCTTCATCAATTTCAATTTCAATATGTGGTGATCTTAAGTATTAATCAAACTTCTACCTCTATCTTGAATTTGACTGAAATATGCCAACAAGCTCAATGCTTTTTGGTGGAGCGAGGGCAGGACTGTCTGGTAGAGAGCAACACTGTGAAGATCTCATTTTCTTAGGAAACTAGACTAAAAGCAAAGTTAAGAGAACATTAATTTCCAAATTAGGTGTTCAAAAGCTTCAATGAATCTTGCTGATGCAATCCTGATTTGTCTTATATATGCATAAGTATACGAGCCCAGGCTGTTATTTTATGAAGAACTAAAAGTGCAAGTTTACATTTCATGTAGAAATTCCCATTTTCCTTCAACCTGAAAGGTATTCAGCTTTAAGCTTTGGGGTTTTTCTCTTTTTCTTCTTTTTTTGGGGGGGTGGTTAAAGAAACCTGACATGCTATGTCAAAATGTTGTTTTGAAATTACAACTTCCATTTATAAAAGTTTAAATCTTCCATCAAGAAAATGAAATATTTTGACTAGAATGTACAAATGATTACTTTTTTCAAGTTTTTCATTCAGTTTCTGACAACCTGTCCTTATTAATTAATTTAAAATTTTTCACATGTGAGAGTTCTCGTTTTACTCTTTTCTGAGTCCTGCACTATGATCTCAACATAGCAGAAGTACTGATCTCTGAGAATGAAGGCTAAAAATGCAATCCCAATAAGATTTCTCAATCAGAAAAAAGTACTATTTTAAATGTATATGGTATATGTAGAAATCACAACAGTATAGGGTAATAGAAAGAGTTTATTTGGCAGTTTGGAAGTTCTTGCATTCCTCACTGGATCTTTGTTCCAGAGTTCCTTTAATAGGTACATAAGGTTACACAGCGTTATAGAGATTTGTAGCATTAAAAGACAGAAGGGATAGTTAGATTATCTAGTTTGACCTATATCACAAGCTGTTATATTCACTCCTTTACCTTTGTACTGAGCCAATAGTTTGTGTTCAAATAAAACATCATGAGAAATTCAACCACGCTTGATTTGAGGACTTCAAGAGGTGGCAAACACCACTTTTATTGGTAGCTTCCAATGGGTAATTACTTACACTGTTGAACAGTTGTCACTTATTTCCAGTATGAATTTGTTTGGCTTCAGCTTCCTGCCATTGATTCTTATTATGACTTTAACCACCAGATTAAAGAACCCTTCAGCACCCAGTATTTTCTCCACTATTCCCACTGATGTCTGTCCACATCTGCTGCTACTACTAATATGGATCCTAAATAATGATTTGAGTTTGTAACTGTCAGTCTCGTTGATTTGCCCAAGATTTCATAAATCTGGCAGGACTAGAACTTCTCCTGCAATGAACAGGGTATGGGCACTCAGATCAAGGCACTGTTCTGACGAGTACAGGGGAGGGTCTGTTTGAATGGTTAATAGTGATCTATTATCCATCTTTTCATCTGTAGGATATTTGACAGATAAAGATCTCCTGGAGTTTCTCATCCGGTGCCAGAATGGCTTGAAGGATAATGGTGTTATCATTCTCAAGGACAATGTAGCCAGAGAGGGATGTATCCTGGATTGTCTGGATAGTAGTGTGATCCGAGACCTGGACATCCTCCACAGCCTCATTGAAATGAGTGGACTCACCATCCTACGGGAGGAGAGGCAGGAGGGGTTCCCTGAGCAGTGTGTCCCTGTCTGGATGCTGGCCATGCAGAAAGGCCCTGGCCATTCCTGATGGCACGGTGAGACTGCAGAGACTGGACAACGGATGAACTGCAGGACTGGGAAGGAGAAGAGCATCTACTAAAATCCTCCTAACCATGCACTGCTACTGCTATGCTAGGGCAGCAACTACTAAAGGATTGGGAGACAATTACAATTGAGCCTGCTTCTCCAGGGAATAGTCTGCTTCTACATCCTTCCTGCTTCATCATTCTCTCCACTTTTAAAAACCTTTCTAACAGCTCCTTGTCAGATCCCTCTTTCATGAAGAAGTCAATACTGGACAAAACTCAACTAATAGAAAATAATTGGGTCTGAAGTTTCTGTAGTGGCTAATACATTTTGGAGTGTTCTGTATGAGGTGTTAAGAAATAAGCCTGGTTTTTACTACAGCACTTAAAAATCATCTTGGAATTTAAGAAGGATCTGTCAGATCACTGAGGCAGAAAATTCAAATAACTTCTGGAAAACCTAACCCAAATTTTGACTGTCATCACTATCTGTACTTTAAAATATTTAAAGCAAAAAGGGAAAATTTTTAAGGAAATTTTTATCCATTTGTTTGCATTAGCTATGCAGTTTATTTATTCTTTTGCATTTCTGTCAGTTTAGACAATAAGACAACCTGGTTAATTTTCCATTTTTAGGAACTTTATCCTCCTGATGTTTCTGCCATAGAACAATAGTGGTGCATATGAGTTTTTGCACTCCAGGGGAAAACTTAAATGACAAATATATGCATGTTTGCATTGAAATTTTGTGAAAAGATTGCCCCACAAATTACATTCTGGAAAATGTTTTTTCAAAATGTTCACAGTGGAAACCACTTGAAAGCTTCTTTTTATTATTCATACCACTGTAAATTTCTTTCTTTCCCACATTCAGAACAAGTCTGGCACCATATGCAGAGCTAATGGGATTTCATGGGGTGTTAATAGTAAGACTGTAAGAAGAACTAATACAGTATTGTATTAATTAACAACTGTACTAAACTGCAGAGGGTGTTAGTGTAACCCAAAAGCATCTATGATTTATATTCAAACAGCAGCTGTATAAGCCTGGATTTGAAAATACTAATACACATACCATCTTCTGAAGGCTCACAGAAATTACACATTAAGCTTCTTGTCCTCTTCATATAGGTGCAGAAAGTGCTGTGGGAGGACAGAAGTTCATTGTTCAAAAAAAATCCAAATTTGAAATTCTGGTTCATTCTGAATGAAGGAGAACCACAGACTTTTCCAAGCTGATTAAAACTTTTGTTCAGACAAGATCAAACATTTCTTTTGAATTGGACCTTTAAAATAATTTGCACTTAAAATACAATTAAATGCAGTAAAAAGCAAATTAAATATGGCTTGTTCAAAGTTTTAGAAATTAGTGATAACATTACAATGGACTCTTCTGACTGTCAGAATTTTTATCATGTTTTATTCCCCTGAAATGCAATTCTGGCAAAACTTATCAGACTTTTTAAAGAGTTCCATTATGACAAATCTCCGTGTTCTGATGGAAAGGGAGTTCTATAAAACATCCCTCACATGACTGTAGGCATAATTGCCTGTGTCAAATATTGTCATCTGCATTATATTAACTCACATAGAAGCCTGAAGATAACAAGATCAGGGAACCTCTCAGCTGGGTTTTAGTACACTTTGCCATCCTTTGATAGCAAATCTCCAGTTTTGGTTTTAGTTGCATAACTCTTCTCTAGCAATATGGTTGCATATGCTGAGAATTTCCAATTTATGGCAGAGGGCTTCCTGATGTCAAATCTTATCCAGCAATTGTTCTCTTAATGTGCCATCACTAATTGTAGCATTAAGGAAAACAACCCTGGTGATTTGGTGAATATTCTGGCGTGTCATATAACTTAGAAACCTATGGTTCCCATGACACAGATGCTTCTGGAATGTTTTGGCTGATTCTTCCATTCTAATCAACTGGTAATGGACATAAATTTAGTATGTAACACTGTTAAAAACCCAAGGTGAACTCTTACATTCTGGGATTGTCCCCAGAACTAAGTGCTTCATATTCCCTTTCAGCTGATACAGCTCTTTCATTCTGCAGAGGCTGTAAAAGCTGATGTGTTCTTTGTGTACATATGAGTGTGTGCAGATACCTGAAGGAAACCCAGTCATTTGTTTTACAGGAAAGAGGCATCAGTCCTATAGTTTGTAACTCTAGTTAGCTATTGCAGGAGAATATTGAATTATCTTTTTCCAGCCAGAGACATCTGCCATGGTGCAGAATACTTGGGGACTGCTGGAAATCCTAGTACAATGGTGTCTGCCAGGCATATCTGAATCATGTTGGTCACTACAATGGTGAGAGTACAGCATTGTGGAAATAGGGTAGTAAACAATTTAATACAAATCTAAACAAACAGCTGTGACATCTCACAGGGCAGAATATATCAACTGTTCACTTACACAACAGAGTGGGTGCATTTCAGTAATGAGAGATGTGGTTCCAAGATGGATATAGAATGTAATGTGGTTTAGGATGAAAGGTAGAATATAAATGACTGGTATTGTTATCAATGCAATACATTTTTCAAGGTAAAAATGTTCTTCCTGTATTTTGTACATCTTTCCTATTTGAATTTCCAGAATAGATGTACACAAACATATAATGAAAATGGGTTCCCTTAACTATGTAAGAATAGAGACAAGTAAAATCTTAATTTAGTAGAAAAACCCATATTTCATGGTTCCCACATTCCTGGAAATTAATGTTTCATGGCTATGTTGCTTCCACAGTAAAATATTAAAGCTTTTCTGGTGACATAATGAACCTCAAGAGTAAAAGAAACACAAGCCCTTCAGGGCCTTATATGCATGAGATTGCTGCAGACTGAATAATATTTTGGTTTCCTCTTTTCCAAGATATATTTTAATTCAAGAACTCCCAGTCAACCAGTAGCCCACCCTTAAATGCTCATGAATACAAGTAAGGTCTGGACTTTACTATATTATATAATAATAATGAATCACAAACTTGAAACAGAAGATCTTGCTTAAAAATCATCTATATATCGGTTGCTCTTTGGTGTTCAAAGATTGGATAATCAACTCAGTTGCTCTGCCTCAACTTTCAGGTTATTTAAACCATGCATTTAATGAAGCCTTTAGCTCATCAGATTGCAGTGGGAGTTTGAGTCCCCTTTGTTTGGTGTTCATTTAGGACTTGTTCCCAATCTCAGTATTACCAGAAGTTTAATCCAAGCTCAAGACACTGACTGAGGCAAAGTTCACAGAACATTCAGGGTCCTTCAAGCTCAAACCCTCATTCACCACTGAAGCTAGTTAGAGAAATACCCAATTAGTCCTTCAATCAGTTGTTTCTCACATGCAACCACTACTCAAGTAAATGCTTAGCCCAAGTGCATTAAAGACTGCTTCTGCCATGTCACCACAAAAGCTCCTGGTAATGCTTGGTTTCCCCATATCAGGTCCTGTGCTTCTATTCTGTGTGATGGAAAGACAGATTATTATCTTTATTATATGAATGTGAGGTTCCTTGCAAAGAGATTGTCAAGCCCTGACAGTAGCCTTCAAATGCTACTGTAACCTGAAGAAAATGTAAGGAAGCAATTATTACAGTGGTCTGAACAGTTATCCCAACTGTGCAGCTCCAGCAACCACCAAAGCTCAAGCTGTTTGTGTTCCGAAGGCAACTCAGACATTACAAATGTCTTTTCATTCCTAATTGGAAGAGAGAGCCATCATCCTGAAAATATATCACTGAATGGATGTTCTAAAATACTTTGTTTCAGAAATGCTGAAATGATCATATCAGATATTTTTAGTTTGACCTTCTTGTTTGGATGTTTATATAATCTAGTCTAAACTGACATGTTATGTGAGATGATAATGTAATACACTATATAGTATTGTAATAGTTGAAATGAAACATGAGTTGCCTACAGAATACGCTAATAAAATCGTACATTTCCCTGCCCCCAAATTTAGTGAAACAAGTCTACAATTTCCAGAGGAGACAGAGTGACAGTAATTTCAAGAGGAGCAGTTCTGACAAGAAGTATTTGCCCAAGCTCTTTTTCTCCAGCCATTTCCCATCCATTCAGGCAGCTTGCAGTGTGCCTGGCCTAGGGAGCAGCCACTTTAGGCTCTTTGACAGGCAGGAAGAAGAAACTGGCACCTCCAGAGCAATTCAGACCACCTCAGAGCTGAACTGGCTTGAAATAAGAGTCTCCTCTCTCCCTGGTGGTTGTACAGTGGGAATGAAAGCACATCCTTGTTACAACCAATTCAGTATCTTTATTGTTAATGTCAAACAAAAGTGCAGTATGATCTGAGGAGCTGTGACTGTCAAAACCAGAAAAAGGCATGGACTTGGATAATCAAACACCCATTAAAAATCAAAATCACGGTACTGGGGCACTACATTAATGGGAGCAATATCACTGCATATTGCCAGCTGACAAAAGCTTTGCCAGTTACACTGAGTACCATGAGTACCTTTATGCCATTCACTTGTTTTTTCCATTCTCTTAATCGGGGCTCCCCAGAGCGTTTACAATGGCATATCAGACAGTAGGCCTGTCCACAGGAACTTGGCTGTTATGTGTGATTAAAACCAGTTGTGTTGCATCCCATCCCTCTTCTCTTCCTTTGATGCTTCTTCCAACTTGCCAAGAAAATCCCTCCTCCACTTGCCAAAAATGATTTGTTCTCTGTGGACATCACCACATCTTATTGAAGTAAAACAGATTACCTTTGATTTTAAGAGGAGGTAATTCTGTTTATCTGAGAGAAATAACAACACGCTGTATTTCAAACATACAGGTTAATACCCATCTCTTTCAATTGATGTCAAGTAGGCACTCCCAGACCTTTGTACCAATCAAAGCTCACATTCTCATCATCACCATAAATAATGGTATTTGTATGATACTACACATCCCTAGACCTTGAAGCATGCATGTTCGAGACAAGGAAACTGAGGCACAGAAGGGTGATCTGGGACACATTACAGCTTTACCTAAATGGTATCTGTGAGTGATTAACACCTCCACAAATCAGGCCACTACTGGAATTACAGAGAGTTTTGTAGGCAGGTATAAACTTATTGTGGTCGTACTTGGAGCAGATAGATTGAAACAGCATGGCTGTGGCTAGCCTGCTTATTAGGCTAGCCTGATACATCCTGCAAAGACAGGGCTCAGGCTGAACGTTGTGCTCAGGAACATAAACAGCTTCTATTCCTTCAAAGCATTGGAAGAACAACCTTCTGCATATCTGCAGCAAAAATAAAGACAGAAAATTGGTGGAAAGTCTCTCTACCCTGTATCTCTTTTCCAAAAATGTTGAATTTGCAGGCATTTCAACCTGTTGTGGTATTTTCAAGATCCTGAGACTAAGGTTTTTAGAGGTATGTGAAGATGCAGAAGTCCTGTAAATGCACTGTGACTCAGACACCTATTGGTGTCTTTGGATGCCTGTAAATCTCTGAAGATTTGGCTTGTAGGAACCTCAGCTTCGCACAAGACTACATTTTCGGAATTATCTAGGACACCAGATTTGAAAGCATGTAAGTGCCTGTCAATGGAGGTGGGCAACTAGAGGCATCTCTGAAGTGTTTGGCCTATTCAGTCAAAGTTTAGCATCAGCATGTCTTTGAAAACCCCTCAGGCATCTTAGGGACAAATAATCTCACTTGATTCGAGATACCTAAATATAGATGTCTCATCCAAGACAATTGTCTAGGCGCTCTTTTTGCAGTCAGTGGAGAAGTGTCCCATACAGGAGACATTAATGACAGGACCATGCATTCTTCCCATTCTAGATAGGTATATAAAAGATCCGAGCAATAGCAATGTCCTTCTGAAAGCTCCATTAAATTGTGTCACTTTACATGACTTGAACTGATTTGTAGGTACATTATGCCTGATTGTTCCCCTCTCCCTAACATCTGACAATGCCCTATGAATGTAGAATCCTGATTCACGACTGTCTCTTCCAGATCTGTAGCAGAGATTCCCAAAGTGACACATGCAGCCTGACACTGCTGGGAGCAACTTCACTTCCTGCTGCTTCTGCTGCTAGGACAATACTCCAGTGTGGAAATCCACTCACACTCCTCCAGTAACAGAATAACAAATATACAGCATCATCAGCTCCAGAAAATAAGAAATCACAGATCTAGCTTCAAAATCTTTGGAGGATTTCTCTCTATGTGTACACATACAGTTTAACAGTTTTACAGATGTATATGCATGCATGTGAAATATACGCAGTTTGTATTGACCAAGGTGACCTGTGGTCTTTGGAATATGTGTGGCTTGCCAGCTTTTCACAAGGCATGTGCTGCAGTGGAACAGAGACTGCTATGTAATCTGGATCCCCAGCCACATGAAGAAATGGTCCAGCACTATTTGCCAAGGCAACTGTTGCTAGATCAGCATTGGATGTCATCTGCTCAACCTGGCTTCATCCCAGGACTCAATTACAGGATCCTTTAGGTGACACCTGGCACATCTCACATCCACTCAGATCTGTCCTAGCCTCTCTGAATTAATGTTGCTTGTATCTTAAGCCTCTCAGTCATGAGAGAATCAGCTAAGAGGACCTAATGACCTTGTGACTCCCTTCTCTATGGCCACATGTAATCACAGGACACACCAGGCATGAGATGCTTCTCAGCTAATTTGGACATCTAAGAGACACTCGTCTGAGGTTAAGATAATTGTCAAATCTTCCTGTCATTGTCACTGGGGAGGGATCAGCTCCTCCCAGAAAACTTCTTCCCTCCTGTAATGATTATCACACATACTCAACTGTAGGAGCCCACAGGACTGTCATAGGTTCAGACAAGTCATTCTTAAGTGTTTAAGCAAGGTGAGATGAATTCCAGCTCAAGTGTATGGGAATACATGGTCCCCACTGAGACCAATCTTCAGTGCATTCAAGTCTGTTTTTAGACATGATAAATCTCCTGAGAGGTGCTTTTTGCACTCTGGATTGATCAGTTTACCAGTGAGCCAGGCCTGACCCTCTGTTGGGTCTTATTAAATAACACACTAGTTTTATTTATGGATCAGTATGTGAGTGCGTTGCTAAATAAAGTGGCTTCTCCTCAAATCAGGGTATCATTGACAAACTCTTAAAAATCCGACCCATAAAATAAACAGACTCCAGGAGTTACCTGTGACTCCCGCCACTGCAGTAACTTCAAGGTAACAAGAAGTCAATAAATCCCCATCAGCAAAATCCCCACTGGGATCCAGCAACTGAGACTCTGAAGCAGCAGTCATCAAGAGAAACTAGGTAATTCAGTAAAACGTTAAAGTTCCCAGAGGAACCATATTTGGGCTGCCTTGAATTGGTGAGAGAGGCAGCCCTGACCACTTACCAAAGGCAAAACATAGGCCATTGAAGAGGTTCCTGTTTTGATAGCGCCTGTAGAGCCACTCTGCTGTCTGCTTGCTCCCTGCCTGTGATTAGGCTGTGTGTCATCCCTAGCTGTCTAGGTGCCAAGGCAGAGGGACCCTGACCATGTGAGTATGTTCTCATTTCACTGCTCAGGTAGGAATAAGTCTCTGTCGTTCTGTTCTCCTTGGTCTTGTAGATCCCTAAGCTTATGTCTGATAGCACCTTCAGTTTGCAGCATGCAGTAATTCTGATTTCAGTGGGCAGAGCAAACCCTGCCTTTGCCCTAATGTAGCTGAGATCAGTAACATTTTTTCTGGACTCTTTCAGCACAGGCAGCTTTCTGCTGTCTCCCTCAACAGACTGCATTCTCTACAGCAAGGAAAGAAATAACACCTCACAAAACGTGGCTGAGCACATCATTGCATTGATCCAAACCAGCCATGCAACAGCCAAGACAGGTACACAAACTGAATAGAAAGGATTTAGGAACCCGTGGGCTACGTTGCATTGGTGCCTTCTCAGGTAGACAGATATACTTACAGTCAGGTTTGTATGGCCTCCAGCATCTCAGCATCAGAGCATGTTGTAAAAATAAGTTCCTCTCCACGCCACTGTCAAGTGGGGAAGGACTAGTGAGCTTTATTGCATGTATGGGAACCCCAGAAAGCAGGATACATTCATCTCATCTTACTTCAGCTGTTGAGTCCAGCTGGTTATTACAACAGTCTAATAATCAGGGAAGCAAGGCCTGTACCTCTGCAAGACTCTTCAGTCCATCTGGTGATATTAGACAAATCTGACATTAGGCATATCATGCCTTTCTGGGCTGATTAGTGATTTGGTCTTCATCTGGGACCATATACCTAATGCTGAATGAGTTGAATCTCATCTTGAGGGAATCACAGAATCACAGAATCAACTAGGTTGGAAAGGACCTTGAAGATCATCTAGTCCAACCATTAACCTAAGGGAAGAGGGACCTTAGAGAGTTGTATGCATTAAAGGAGGGAACAAACCTAGCTCTTCTTAGTCACAGCCATGTGCTCATACCACTGAACCATTTTCTCTCTTATTTGTGTAAACTGAGGGGATTTGGGTTTCCAGCATGGTAAACAAAGATTTAACTACTTTCTCCATCCTCCCAAATAACTTTCCTTGAAATTAACATGATAAACAGAGCCCTCAGTCTCAAAAAAAGGCCTTCTGCTTGGGGTTGGTTTTGTAACTGATCCTCTGCTGGAAAACAAGCAACTCGGATTTCTGCTAAATGCAGCTCAAGGGAACCTCTTAACAATAAGATTACAAACAGTCTTATACCCTGCTCCACTGGGTCCTGTAACAGAAGAGTAGACACCCACCCGTGGATGGGTTTGTAATCCTGTGTGATAAAGAAGCGTTAAGGCAGCTAGCAGCACACAGAGAGCAGCAAAGAGTGCCTCGCTCACCTCCAGCTTTGTGCCCTGCTTGTCAGACAAAGAGTGGACAGAGCAGGATCTAGCACCTGGGATCAGGAGCCAGAAAGAAGCTGTGGCCACATGCTGGGCATGTGTGAGTTGCAAAGGCAGTGGCGGGAAAGGAGAGGGATGTTTGACATAGAAAGCAGGAGACTTGACAGGCTAGAGTATTTTCATTGTGAGAATGGCTTTCAAAGAATGACATTTTAGGGAATAATAATCTTGTGTTTGTAGTTAACACCCTTTAAGGCTTAACTGCACTGTGACCGTTAGAAAGTTGTTCTTTCAAAACGAAAATTCTCACATAACTAGAGAATGTAGAAGTCTGTCTAACCTGCCTTTGAAGATTTTCCTTCCTTCCTGTCCCATAACAGTAAGTGCACACAAATAGCCTGATGTATCCATAGAAGCACAGTGGCAGAAATCAAAGATCAAAACAAAGATGACATGTAAGGAGGCAGAGTCATAGACAGGAGAAAACCAGGGACTATGCTACTTCTCTTGACTGGGGAATAGCAAGAAACTTGCTGCCTATCACATAGTTTAGGAATATGTGTTGGAACTGTGACTTCTAAATGTCTTTCCTTAAGGTTAGGCTTAAAAGCACAAAGCAGTTTACAGCACTTTCATTCATAGGTCTCAAAAAGTGCAGTGCAGGGAGGAGCATCTGGTAATCCCTACTGTAGAAGGGAAAACAATGGCCCAGAGCATTGTATCACTGAGTAGCCAAGTTGGGAATCCCACCCGAATCAATCCTGTCTCTGGACAAAGCTGTGACTTCCCTATGAATACAACAGGTAAGTTTTTCACAGGCTGGGGCTAGGGTTTTTTTGGCATACTGTATAACCTTTCCTTCACAAGGGAGATGAGAATGACAGCTAGCAACCAGCCCCCAGCCAAGGCCTCACTGCTGCTAAAGGCAGAGCAGGGCCTGCAAGGAGAGTGTCTTGGTACAGTAGGACGGGAGTTCCAGCCAGGACAGCTGAGGTGAAAATCCTGCACAAATCCATATGAGACACCCTTGCAGCTCAAGACATCCATCAGCTAATCCTCCCTTTGGCAATCCCCCCCGTTTACCCCTTCCATCAAAGGAGCTTGGATTACAACGGCTGCTGTCTTAATGAGTGAGACGCTGAAGGAGGCTGGTTTCTCCAGGACAAAAAGTAAAGTACTTTGCACTGCCTGGATCACCTTGCCTCTTAAGAGAACCAGTCATTTAACAAACTGTTACTGAGCCTCAGGAGGGAGGCGAGTGCTAACCTAGGGAGCTGTGCACACAGGTGGGTTGGGGCCAAGAGCAGCTAAGTGCCTTGTCTTGTGCCGCAAAGTAATCATGACCTGAACTGGGCACAGAATGTGTATGTTCCACCTTGCAGGTTTTTGAGCAGATTGTAAGGCCAAGGCCCTGGCCATTCATTGTCGCTGCAGACCTAGTGGTGTTCTTTGGCGGAGGAAAAGTGTTAACTCACGTTTCCTGGCTGCACTCCAATTTGGCTGACTGTATTCTTGCTTTCTTAAATTCCTGCCCCAACCAACCAAACCATTTTGACTGTTTGCTGATTTCCCCAATAGCTTCTTGTTGGTGGTTGTGGAATGGCCCCTCTTTCATCCTGGACCTCTCTGCATTGCATTGCTTAAATAATCTTGGGTTGTAAGGTTATCTACCATGACATTCCCTGTTCTGGAGAAGCACCTTTGCAAGATGGGTTCCCCCCCATTCCTTTCCAAGCCTTGGAAGTGTGGCTGTCACAAGAAGGATGGTGGAGTAGGGTGGTCTCATGTGCTATTGCAGAGCTGATATGCTTAGAGAAGGCTTTACAGTTTCACAGTTCCGCTCATCGTTGTTTCCCTGTAACTATCGTAACAAACTGCCCATGCCCCTCTAATCAAAGAAATGTGAAGTCAGCAAGAGGCCCCAAATACATTTCCTGGCAACAAAAGTAAGTCTACTGAGAAGTTTATGCAAAGAGAATATTTCTAGTATATACAGTTCTGTCTTGTTCTCAGATGCCCATACCAAAGCAATTACTGTATGGAAGATGCTGACTGGCTGGAAGAACCTGTCCATTCTGGGTCTGTAATGGAGTCTGTGAGGAGATCAGCTTCCTGGTGTGGAAGAAGGTAAGTGTATGTGAGGAAGGGAGGCTGGGGCATGTTTATTTGGGAGGGTAACCTTTCTGCACTGGAAGCCTACTTTTTAATTTATTTGGTGGTCCGGGAAAATTCATCACATCACATTCTTCAGTTTCTATTTCCACTGAGGTGATAACATCACGCCAGAGTCTTAGCTAGCTAGCAGGGATGCAGCTGTATAAAGTGCAGGCTGGCCATTTCATGATGGCAGTAATGCAGTTTGTCCCTAAGACAAACAAAGTTGCACAGAAGAGGTAGAAGTCTGGGTCCAGCCAGGGAAATGCAGGTCCAAGGCCAACTCTGAACTTTGAGCCAGCTCACGGATGTTTTTTTCCATGTCTGCTTTTACCCCACCCTTCAGCTCCTCACAGATCAGATCCAGAGACACGTGTGGCCTCTATGTTCCTGTAAGCACGCTGACTGCTGTTTCACAGTTCCTGGGAGAAATGCCCAGGACAAGTACCAGGGTTTTTCAAGTAATAACTGAGAAGCATTTTGATTGTCTGGAATTGCAGGGCATCTTGGCTTCTTGACAGCACTGCATCTTGCAAAACAAGGATGAGGGATCAAGGCCTGCAGGAGTTGGCACAAAGACTGACGGTTGTGGCAAAGTGCTGAAAGCTGAGGAAGGTTAAAGAGGAAAGCTCTAGAGTGTGAGGTTTCCATGGTAGAGAATCAGTGGCTCTCCCAGTCACATACTCTCTTTTTGGTGCCATCCCACATGCTAGCATGGATACAGGGGAAAACTCAGTGTCTGCTGGGTCACAACCCCTTGCTATGGCATGCCTGGGTTCAGACTCTCAGTATTCAAAGGGATGTTGGGGTATTTACTCATGGAGTCTCACAGCACCCCTGAGAGGTGTCCTAGTACTTTACCACCATTTCACTCACAGCAGTAGCAAAGCAGCGCAGGGAATCACCTTGCACAGACAGAGAGTATGGCAGTGTCAAAGCCAGAAAGAAAAAACTTGGGAGCTGCCTGGTGCTCAGCTCACTGTTCTCCTCCAAACCCTCCTGCTTCCTCTGCAGAATGCTGAATCCACTTCTGAACCCCATGTCTCATGTTCCTAGTCTATCTTGACACCAAAATCTTAACAGCAGTTTAAAACTGGCATAATAGGTTTTGATAAAATGCATCTCTAAGCTTTTGCAGGCAGGGATTCTATTTGCAAAAGCCTAACTGTTCCTCCTGCAACACAGTGCAATCATACTCTCAGAGAGTTAAAACAACCATGCGTGCCCTTTAAAAGAAGAAATCAGGAGGATTTTTTAGACATTTTTAGGCAAAGGTTCTTTTTTTTTTTTTTTTTTTCATTCAGCCTCCTTGGTAACCAGTTAAAACAAATTCCTCCAGACTGTAAACTAGAGATAATGGAGTTCGCCTTTAATCTCAGTCCGCTACAGATCAAGTTACCTCTTAGAAATTACTTATCCTGACCAAGCAAATGAATTGGAATTGATGTTCTTAATTGTTTTCTAAATTGCTGTTCCCCACTCCCTTCCTCCCCTTCTCTCCACGCAGCTGTTTTGCATCAGAATCTAGTCTAATGGGTACTGTCACTCACACAAGGGGGTGAAGTCATGTGGTCATAAAAGAGAAAGATTGGGGGAAGAGAGGGAAATACCACCCAGTGCATTATCTGGCTGTGACACACACAAATTGAATAGAAATAATTCCTCCTAGGGGGCTAGTCCCAACAATGGACACAGTTCTGTCTTGGGCTAGAAAAATGTGGAGACTCACTCCATTCTCTGATACTTGCTTCTCTCTCACAGAGAAAGAAAATGATTAAAGCTCTAGTTTGGGACACAGGAAACCTGAGTTGAAATTGCTGACTCTGCAGCAACCTCCTTTGTCTAGTTTTGTGCAAGTTGTTTTGTTTATGCCTTAGTGGCTGGATTTGTAATACATAAATAATACAATTCCCTTCCTTTCTCCTCAGGGCAACTATGGTCTTTCATTGGCCATATCTTACAAAAAAGCTTAACCTGCTGTCTCCAAAAAGTGCTTCAGTACTCCCTGTGTTTACATATATTAGTCTCCAGTTCACTTGGAACTTACATTTGGGCTCTGGGAGCATCAGGCCAGGACTTAACACCAGAATCTCATCTCTCCACATCCTCTGAAGTCTTAAGCAGGAACCATCTGCTGAGGATATTTTGCTTATATAAAAATCATTCCTGCATGTGAAATGTGTGCAAGCAAACTATTTCACCAACTTCCATGCCCTGCTACTATGTTCCCTTCCAACCTATAAATGACCAATAATCCCGGTTTTGCTGTCAACAGTTTTCCAAAATTCAGCTGTTCCCTTTCAGATCTTGTACTTCCATGGATTGGCAACTGGTTTCTGCTCATCTGTCCATTCAGAGTAGAACCTAAAAGAGCAGAGGTTATCCTCTTCTTAACCTCTCCCAGAAGGTCTTTCTTAACAAACAACAGTCTATCACTCTTGTTACACTGTCAAATTAGTTTTCTGAGGGAGACTAGGGAAACGGAGAATTTGCTGCCCACATAAAATGCTGAAGTACCTGCTGGAAAAGCTGCAGACTCTTGGATACCTATTTGTAATATCTGAGAACACTGTGTAGAATAAGTCCAAGAAAAAATGGTGGGAAAGAAGGATTTTATACAAAATGAGTTTAAAAAAAAATCATGATAAGTGCTGGAAGTAGTAAGGAAAGCTGACTATCATAAATGTGGAGATTTTTTCCCTCCTTTTCAGTAAGGAGAACATGGATTGATTAGGCTCACTGCAGCACTGCACACAGCTCTCAGGTGCCAGATCATTGTTGACACTAGCAGAAGCATGTGCATTTACTCTGCAAATTCTAGTCTATGAGAGCTGCACATTAAGCATTCTTCATAAGTGGAAATAGACTCTAACACTGGCTGGCCTGTCCTTACAGACACAGCCACTCTGTTTAAGGAACCTTGTTTCTTAGGAAGTGTAATGCAAATGGTTATGGTGATTCATGTTATCATCACAGTGCAAATACCCTTACCACCCTGGAGAAAGGAGAGGGAAAAGAAAATCTACTTGTGATAAACCTTAGTTTTATGACTGGGAAGTGACTTGATGTGGTTATAGAGAAAATGGTGTGAGAATCCAGAGGGGATAGATTTTGCTTTTCTTTGTTCTTCTGCAATTAGTCATCTCTGAAACAGGTAGGTCCAAGACCTGGTCACTGTCCTGGAAGGAAGAAAATCAACTGTGCAGGTATTGGGTGTTGGGAGCACAACTTCCAAGTCATGTGTATCAAGTACACCTAATTGTCTAAATCTGGAATCCATTCAGCTGTCTAATAGTTTAAGTGCCCAGTTCAAAGCTAGTTTTCAGAGATCTCTCAGAATTCAGGGTAGCCAGACAGGCAGTTCACAAGGCTGATACATCCCGCCCATCACAGGCCCTATGCTAGGAGTCTAGTTGCCTCTATCAGCAGTGTTCCCTTACTTGGTTCTGTCAAAGTGGTCCAAAACAGCAGACTCAATATTTAAAGTGACTAAGTATGATTATGGCTCACAGGAGAATGACCTCTAGGAAGGGATGGCTACAAAAAAGCGTAGGTAGGCAGTAGCATCCTTCTGTCTTCACATGCAGGCACTATTTTCCAGTCTGGGAGGGAAAGCAGACAAAAGGGGATTAAAGCAATGCTCAGGAAGGAACAGCTTCCTTTTATCACAGGAGGATTTTTCTAGCTGTTAGAGCTATAAGCTGAGCTCTTGCACTTTTTGCTTCTTACCACATTATCAGTAAGGAAGAATCTACAACCAGCATTTTGCTGAAGAGGTGCTGGGAAGAAGGGAACCCAATGTGCTTTTTCTGTAGCAGTGTGTGCTAATAGCAGGAAGGAGAAAAAACTCATTTATGTCAATGAAGAAAACAGATGTGACCCTTAGATAGTGCTACCCTTGCTGACATTAGGTACTTGCTGACTCCTTGAATAGCCCCATTCAGATCAATGTAGCTGCTCTTGGAGCAAGGTTCTGCTCAGTGTTAATGAAGATGTCGGAATCCGTCCCACAGGAAATAAATGCATTGAGCAAGAAGGGGCTCTTTTATAACCTCTTTCCTAGAACATGTTTGGAGGCCTACATTTGCAGCTGGTTCCTATCTGAAAGCCAGGACAAACCAAGCCCCCCTCACCAGAAGACGCAAGCGTGCCCAGACTTTTGGAAGTTCAGCTTCAGATCCAAACATTTGGCTTGATCCAAAGTCGATAGACTCCCACTGACCTAAACAGATATTTGGCTCAAGCCTCCGTGACTTGGGCCCGTCCTGACTCAAAGCAATACACTGTACACCAGTACTACTGGCATGTCTGGGCCCATGTCTGTAAGAATATGATCCTTTTTCTTTTTTTTTCCTCTTGCTTTTAATTTATTTTAGAGAAGGGATTGGTCTCAGGGAGGCATAAACTCCCTTCTTTTCCATCCCTGATTGAGTATCAAACTCCTCCGCTGAGATTTCTCCATGGAGACATTGGGTTTTCCTGGCAGGCAGGGTTGCAAACTACTCAGCGGAATGTCTACAGCTCTGCAGCTCCAGAGGAGCCAGGAGGCTGGGCATCCCAGCCAAGGGAAATACTGCTGTCGTCCCAAAAACACTTTCATGGAGACTGAGGTGCACACTGGATTAGAGGCAGCTAAACTGGCTTCTTGGGGTTTTTTGTTGGTTTCCTTTTCCCCCTCGAAAATCTAAAGCATGGGGAAGAGAAATCCACAGATGAGAAATCTGGGGATCCTTGTGGATGTTGCAAAATGTGATGTGTTAATGGATCTTTTTACTTCTGGTACTGCTGGCTTCTTCAACACATACGCACACATACACACATACAGAGAATAACTTGGCAAGCTTGTGTTTTCATGGCACAGCACCAGGAAATGGGAGTTCCCCTCCCAACAGAGAAGATCAGGGCAATGAGGCAAAGGTGGGGAATCAGACCCAGCCTGAGTCTCAGTGGAGCGCTGGCCTGGACAATTTACA